AAGTGCGAGCCAAATAAACCCTTTCCTCCCCGCTTTGCTTTTAGGTCATGGTATTCATCTCAGCAATATGAACCCTAAGACAGGGTCATTTTTATTAAAACCATCACACAGATTCAATCTCTAGTAACATTTATTTATCATTTGGGACACACTCCTTTTCTGTCTTCTTAAGGTGGAATCTTGGGTGGCTAATCTTAAGCCTTCCTTCTTTTCCCATATGAGCATATAGAGTTGAACTTCTCTCTGACCATGGTGGTTGCTGTTCTCCAGAAACTACTTCCTCTGCTCATTGTCATTCAGGCCAAAGGACTTTTAATTTCTCCTGTGCTTTCTTCTTTGGCTTCTGAATTATTTAAAGGACGTAGTCAAATATTTTTCTCAGCAACATATAGCTCCTGATTTCTAAATAATTCCAGTCTAATCAGAGAACACGCCCTGAGTGAGCGAAGCCCTTCTGATGTTGGTAGGGTTTGTTGTCTGCAGTTGTTGGGGGCAGGGTTCTGTGACTAAGCCAAGAAACAAGTCAATTAAGATAAGGCTGCACATACTGTTCAACTCCTCTGAGTTGCTGGGGACTTTTTTTTTTTTCATTTAGATGAATCAAATGTTGAGAGAGGACACACTCATGTTGTCCGTGTACAATTGCAATATCTTACTAGTGATTGTCCATTTTTTTAATTCTAAAATGCCACATTAAAAAACCATTTCTTCATTTATTTTGTATGCGTGTGTGCCACGGTGCGCATGCGGAGGATAGAACAATTTGCTGGAGTCCTTTTGTGTCTTATCATGGAACTCAGATGGGAAGCCTGGGTGACAGGAATCTTGTCCTGCTGTGCCATCTCACCTGCCTCTAAAATGCCTTTGGCATCAGGCAAGCTCTTTGACTCGAAGTCCATTTTGTGCGATATTCTAACCATCGCTTAGGTTTTTTTGATACTTTTTTTTTTAAAAAAAAAAAAAACAGAAGCCAAAAATCTTTATTTTCAATTTGTTTTTATCTAATACAACATCCCTAATTATTTGTTCACAGCAAAATTACCTCATTTATTTTTATTTTTTTATTTTTTTAGGCTTATCCTTTTTTATTATTAAATTTATTTATTTATTAAAGATTTCTGCCTCCTCCCCGCCACCGCCTCCCACTTCCCTCCCCCTCCCCCAACCAAGTCCCCCTCCCTCGTCAGCCCAAAGAGCAATCAGGGTTCCTTGCCCTGTGGGAAGTCCAAGGACCACCCACCTCCATCCAGGTCTAGTAAGGTGAGCATCCAAACTGCCTAGGCTCCCACAAAGCCAGTACGTGCAGTAAGATCAAAAACCCATTGCCATTGTTCTTGAGTTCTCAGTAGTCCTTATTGTCCGCTATGTTCAGCAAGTCCGGTTTTATCCCAGGCTTTTTCATACCCAGGCCAGCTGGCCTTGGTGAGTTCCCAATAGAACATCCCCATTGTCTCAGTGTGTGGGTGCACCCCTCGCGGTCCTGAGTTCCTTGCTCATGTTCTCTCTCCTTCTGTTCCTGATTTGGACCTTGAGATTTCAGTCCGGTGCTCCAATGTGGGTTTCTGTCTCTGTCTCCTTTCATCGCCTGATGAAGGTTAATATTCAGACACTTTTTGAGTGGCAAGCCATTTTCAATTCATTTTAATCCGAATCTTTATAATAAGATAGGAAATACTAACTTAACTAACATTCCTTTAAGACCCATTCTGAACATGTCTTCGTAGCAAATTTCATTCTGATGACTGATTCAGTGAGGTCTAAAGCTTCCACTCACTGTATTATTTGGTTTCTAGTTTCTCTTTTTCCCAAAGTTTCTTTTCTTTCTTCCTTTGGGTTATTTTGGTAATTTAGCATTCCCTTGCTTGTTTGTTTATTAGTTTTTTTTTTTTTTTTTTGAGACAGGGTTTCTCTATGTAGCCCTGATTGTCCTAATACTCACTCTGTAGACCAGGCTGACCTCAAATTTGGAGATCCGCTTACCTCTGCCTCCCAAGTGCTAGGATTAAAGGTGTGTGCCACCACCCAGCAAGAATGTGTAGCCCAGACTGGTCTTGAACTCATGATCCTCATTCCTCTTCCTCCTTCAGCAAATCCTACTGGTGTGTACCACCATGACTGAATCAGCCAGCATTCCTTTTTATTGGCTGTTAAAGGTGTATTTCTGTTTTGGGAAGGGGTGCTCTGGGGTTTATAATATGTATTATTAGCTTTTATTATTGAAGTCATACCACTGTGTGAATATTATAGAAAGTATGTAGTCAATAACCCGTTTTAGTAAAACGTATTGTCGCAAGTACCTGAGATAATCAACATATAAACAAGAGAGGTTGTCTTGTCCCGGTCCATGATCCAGCTGCTCTGTTGCTTTGGGCCTGCAGAAAGCAGCCCAGCATGACAGGAGCATGTGGCAGAGAAGGAAACACATCTCGAACAGCAGAAAGAACGAGAGAAGGGGTCAGGACACAGTGTTTCATCCAAGGGCACACCCCTAGTGACCCAGCTTCCTTACTGGGCTCTAAATAGTCCTTCCCTTCCCGAGCACTTAGGCCACAGACCAAGCCTTGGCCGTGAGGACCTTTGTGGGAAGCTCAAGACCCAAGGAGAGCAGGTCTGTTACCCTACAGCCATCCTGTCTGCACTGCATCCATGCTCCTCGGGGACGCCAGCAGGCGGTGCTCAGTCTTCCTCCCAATAGACACGTTTTTTTTTAAATTAATAAGAAAGGAATAAATCTTAAATGTTTTCTAGATAGTGTTGCTCATATCCTTATTTCTGAATACCCAGGTTTCCTTTCAGCATTAGTTTCCATGTTCTTGAAACAGCGTGAGCTGGCAGCTGGTGTCATCATTTTCCTTACTCCGAACATCACCTGACTCCACCTTCATCCCTGCAGGGCGCATCTGTGCAGGCTGAGAGCTTCAGGGTTCATTTTGATCTTCCATCTTCCCGGAGTTCTGATGAGAAGCCTGTGGCTATTCAAGCTGACATTACCTCCCTAGTCATGCGTTTAGCCACCGTTTCGTCTGCTGTGCGTCCTTTGGCAGTCTTAATTCCTCAGAGGCAGATGTTTGGATATTGTTTTATAAACCCCTGAGATTCTGCTCACTTAATTCCATCTGTTTTCTTCCTTCAGTTTGATGGGCCCCTGAGACGACTCAGCCCTTTGTCATTTACAGACCTAGCAAACCCATTTTCCACGAAATAGTGTTTTCCAGACCATTCTACAGATAGGTTTGCAGTATTCCCATTTCGTTTCTCTATGTGTGTTGTAGTTTGATTGTCCATCCTTTCTTTCATTTTGATCATTGCTTCTTTGACTTTATTGAGCATGGCTGAAAACTCACTCCCTTTAAATCCTCATCTGGTAATCCCAACCCTAGGGTAATCCCAACCCAAGACCAAAACGTGGGTTTATTTTATTTTGTCGCTTCCACTTAGCATGTGTTACAATGACTTGTTTCTTTGTGTGTAATCTTAAATTGTTCCCCAGACATTGGACAAGCCATATGCTATATAACCCCAAAGTCTATCACAGTCCTCTGGAAATAACAGATTTTTGTCTGTTTATCATGGTAGACAATTAATCCACCGAGACGTAAACCAAGCTGGCTCTCGCCCTTGTGTCTAGAGTCTGTCCCATGGAAACAATAGGAATCAGTGTGACACTGGGGGATCCTGAAGAGCTAGGGGCCTCCGCTCCTAACTGCCCTCTTGCTTGAGCCTCTCTTCTCACTCTGGCAGTTGATAGGACTCAGCAGAACACCGGTCCCTGATGCTTCTGACCAAGAGTTTGAGCTTTGATTTGCTTCCGGAGTTCTAGGTGTCTCTGTCACTTTTCTCACTGCCGGTGTCTTCAAGCCTAAGCTTCCAAAGTCGGAACTTCAAGTCATTTGTCCAAGCTTCTGTGTTCTCTGCAATCTGCTTCTTCAGGGTGTGTGTGTGTGTGTGTGTGTGTGTGTGTGTGTGTGTGTTGTTTGTTCAACGTTTTCTGTTTTTAATCAGTTGCAGAGTTGGTTTAACCTCTGAATGTACAAGTTTAAATGAGCCCTTCCACTCCACAGTGTTTACATCAGGTATTTGGTGACAGTAATGGAGGCCGACTAATGTACGTTCTTATTCCCAACAACCGACGCCAAGGATTGGGATGGGAAAACCAGAATCTTCCTGAGAAAGTAGAATATTCATGAAGGGAAAGCTGTATTTCCAAAGGCAGAATGTGTTTGAGGGAGAGGAAAAAAATTGTAAATATTCTACTCACATTTTAACAATCCTGTACTATTCAGTGTTAACATTTTACAGGTACATGTTTTATGCATGATCTTTGTGTTATGAATATCTAATGCATGTACATAATATAATGTTTGGATAATTTATAGGTTTTTTTTTCTAAGAGAGGCATAAATCCGATAACCTTTAAATTCCCACAAGAATCCCAGACTAGTTCTAGCATCTAACGATAGCATTGCTGACAGGCCCTTGCTAAGCTCTGTGAATACATTTGCTTTATTGGGCTTCATAGCAATGCTGACAGGTGGGTGTGGCTCCTATAACAAATGAGAAATCCGAGATCCAGGAGAGTCAGCAGTGTGCCCAGGTGCACACTAAGGCGTGGCGATGAGATCTGGGCTCCAGCGGGTCCTCCCTCGCAGCTGATGTTTTCTTCGCTTTGTCTCCCGTTTGGAGTCGCAGGCTACCACCCAGCTAGCACTGGGTCACATCCATCACAGAAAACAGTGTAGTAGAGAGGGGGAAACACCGTGTGGAGGAATAACAGTCTCTTCAAAGGAGCCCAGTCTTCTAGCTGCAGTAGACTCGCTGCCCTGCGAGCCTCCTGCTCCTCTCCCGCTTCTCTCTGTGTCTGCCTCAGAAATAACAATGTACTTCACCATCTTGTTCAAAGCTGTTCTGGACCTTAAACCGGAAGGGCTAGGAAAGTGTGATGAAACATGTGACTGTGGTTCTTCTGTCCCAACTCACACACTCGTGCTTCCTTTTCCAAGTCTTACAGTTACGGCTTCAACAGCGAAGGACCCAGGAGCAGCTGGCTAACCAAGGCTTGATACCACGTGAGTACCCGCCGCTTTTCCTCATCCCCTCAGAGCTGTGATATCCAGGAGACAAAAAGACCCTAGAGATCAGCTAGTCTCAGGCGATGTATCTCTCAGCGGAGATCCCCGGGAATCTGAATCCGAGGACATCTAGGCTGTGGATGTTTTGTCTCCTACGCTTGCCTATATAGAGGCTGTTCCTAAGACTCCAATATAGTAGATTTACTCCCAGGTAAACTCAGTGGATGGTGGGCGTCTCTGGCTCTTCAGCTATTTGAACCCACAATTAATTAAATATTGTCAAGCATTTCCTTTGTAGAAGACTCAGTAGCAATACTATCCTAGCATGAATACTATAATATTGAACTACTGCCCAAAGTTTGAGCCAAAGAAGGATTATCACAGGTTTTAGAAGATTATTTGAAATTTTCTAACAATTAAAACTAATTCTTGGTTGTCTAGGGGAAGGTGTCCCAGACATGAAATCACAGTTCCAATTCTTCTAGGTCATATTAATTCTCCAAATAAAATACAAAAATCAGTGTTCATAATAACACCTGCAGAAATGTGAATAGTTGCACAGTACTGGGCTTCAGTGTTTAATATACAGCTCTCAGACTGTACCCTAGGCAAGACTATGGTGGTTAATATGTATAGGGGCGTATTGAGGCCCGAGGACTGCCCAGAGCTGATAATCTTCAAGCTTTCCCTTTTGTAATTCAAAAGCGGCCCTCATATTAGCTAAGCATCCATATGGTGAACAGCAGAGACCTTTGGAGCAAAACTTCTTTAGAGTTTTTTCCTGAGCACAGAAGGGACCGACGGTCCTGTAATCTCAGTACTGACTGCTCCAGCAGCACTGTCCTGCTGGGAAACGGAGACGGCAAGCTCGTGTCTAGTGCTTTCGTCTGGTCAGTCTCCTGAAAGTGAGAAAGATGGAAGGAAGCCAGGGATCTGAGACTGCAAATCTCACAGCCATGTCCTCAGAGATGTCTCCTCCTCATTTTGGAAGGGCAGATGGCTCACACACACCAGAACCTCTCAGTTCATCCAAGTTCACGACTGATTTAAAACAAAATTCAGCCCACACGCCCAAATGCTGAACCTGGATTTCACAGCCTGCTTTTGGGTAAGAATATTTTTGAAGTCTGTGGGCATAAATCTGGAAACAAGTGAAAAATAAAAGGTCAAGACAGCGATGACCCCCGGGATGTAGTTTAGGTCACGGCTGTCATGTCAGGTGTACAAATGGAGCATCTTTTCCTGTAAAGGAACAGAGTGGAGATGTAAAGTTTTCTTCTCCGGAATTTTCAGACTCAAGTAGGGTAGCTATCAATGAAGCATTATTGAAATGCTTAGAGTTTGTGACCAGTCCTCTGCATCATCAAGACATTTTCAGGGCAGGGATGTCCTGCAAAGAATAAAATGTCTTATTCGAAACCCAGCCAAATGATAAAGGTTTGCTCATTAGCCACCTCTCCCCAACCAGAGTTTCTAAGGAAGCGGCTCCTGCCATGGGAAAGTGTGTGGGTGTCTGGCACACACCGCAGACCCTGTGTGGATGGGCCTGCTCTGCTCAGCTCTCTTCAGGAAGCTAGAGAAAGAACCAGTCTCTGCCCCTGCTGGTGTACCCAGAGTCCTAATAGGAGACTAACCTGACACAGCACACCAAGGGACCATACCTAAAGGCAAATGAGGGTGAGAGGCTCCAAAAAGGCTCGGATTCTCCTGGATTTGGCCTTATTTAACACATTGTATTAACTGTGTACAGAATCCAGAGCCATGCACTGAGAGGCCCACAATAATGACCAAGATGATTCCTGGGAGGAATTCAGAATACTCGGGGATCTGGCAATGGGTCTAATTCAGTGGGGTCTCATTGTCTGCCCCAAGAAGACCTTCAACCATTATTTCAATTTTTTAAGAGAAAGAGGAAAGGAAAGGAGAAAAAAAATGAAAGGACAAAAAGCTGCAAAGTTCAGCTAATTCTCTGATTTTTTAAAAAGTTTTTCAGTTGTTTTTTTTCTTTTTAAGTCTTTCAGTTTTCTTTTTTTAAGTTTTTCAGGAAGCCATCTACACGTTTTCTAGCCAAGGCAGTGCTAATGGTCCTCACACTCCCTGGGCCTCTCCTCAGCTCCCCTAGGAGCCTTGCAGTCTCCTCACTAGAGTGATATTTCTCTCCAGCAGACATCTGAGATACTCACGGTAGTCAAATCCTTATTTCTTGCTAACATTCATGGAGATGAAGCTGAAGGCCTGAGAGAGTTTTCTGATGTCCTAAAGCAGATCCAGCGAGTTCCAGGTCCCTCTCCTATTCACGTGCAAGAACTTAATACATAAAATAAGAGTATTGTAAAATCTCACTCTGCCCAGGGTGTGAAATAACTGTAATTCTCTGAAAATTTCACAACTTACTATAAATTGCCTACACACAAAACCATGGCCACATTAGTGATTTATTCTAAACTGTCACATATACGTAGTTAACGGGAAACCGCCACGCTTGGGCAGTTGTTTTGTTTCTTTACATTGGGTTATCTCCAGAGCCTGCAGGAATGCCATTTCTCTCTTCGTGTGATGTCCAGTGCCCACACAGACCCCCTTTCTACCCGCTAGGCTCAGGCCCCACACAGACCATTTTTCTCAAATGTTCAAAGAAATTGTTTTACATTTGTAAGAACGTAAATCATTGTGACCAAAATAGTCAAGGAGAGATGTGGGATGTGACTCGTGGTGCAACACCCACTTTTAGTGCAGAAAAAAAAAAAAACCCAAAAAACAAAAAACAAAAACAACCCTGGTTTTGATTCCAATACTGCAGAGATATACTGGGAAAATGTGGAGGATGGCCCAGTCATCTCAATGAAATGTTTCACTCTGACCAGCTCTGAGGGATCTCACTTTTTCTCAGTGTGACGATAAACTGTGTTTTCTCTTCTCTGACTCCAATGAGCTGAGATGTTCTTTCCAGTTGACTTGTCCACCTCATCCAACAGGGTTCAATTTCCTTCCTTCCTTCTTCATGTAATGTGCAGGCTTTGAGGTTGCTGCTAAGTAACAAACAGTCCACACCAGTAGCAGCAACATTTTTTTCCCCAATACCTCCAATCACTTTAAAATCATTCACTTGTTTTTATGAGTTTGTATGAGTTTATGGTTTTCCCACTTCTGGTGCTTTGAATAAAATTAAATGCACGATTTTTTGATTAGAAGTGAAGACAGATGTCTTCTTACATTCTTAGGCCAATGTAGAACCTTAGAGCAACTTATGAAAAAAGTTTTCTTTGGACCTGAGTAGGAGGCTGAGCCATATCCTAAGACAGCTTTCACAGTGAATGGTGAAGACCATGCTTTCCAAACAGTCATGAAATCTAAAGCTTTCTTGTTTGAATTATATCTCAGACACACACATGAATCCGAACTGTCTGACTCTCCACTGAAGCTAGGGTTTGAAAGGATGTCTTCACCAGGTCTGTAGGCTCAAGGATGTAGGCTATGAAGAAAGTGCACTCTTGGGGCTTTAGAAGAGGGCTCCCTCTGGCGTTGGGAACGTCAAGGAGGGTTTTCCTCATTGTTTTCATACAAATATCCTCCCTGCACTCCTTATACCTGAGCATCACCCTCCCAGGCAGACACTTTTTATTTTAAAAATTTTTATTATTCATTTGATAGCTGCATTAAGAGTTTCGCTTATATTCACTCTTCCCAAACACACCCCAGATTCCGTACCCAACCAACTTTATGTTGTTTTATTTAAATCTATGATGTGCAAGACACGTAGGCTTCCAACAGAGCATCATCAACCAGGGGAGCTATACTCTTAGAGGAAACTCCCTCTCCCAGCAGCTAACAATTGTCAATAACCCCAAAGTTAGAGGTGGAATTTCATGCCCCACTCCCACCTCTGTGCTAGGATTTGATCTGGCTCGGACTTGCTCCAATCTTGAATTCAGAATTTTAAATGGCTCCATCTTATTTTGACCCCTTCCAAAGCTCCCACATAAACGATTCTCAGCCTCTTGACCTGGATGTACTAAAAATGGTCTTAGAGCTATGAGCATCTACTAGGAGTAAGGCTGTACCTAGGGCATACACACAGGAATCAGACAGAGTTTCTGAGTCACTAAGGAGCTAGCTCCACGGAGCCCTTGTTTAACTGTTTCTGTTGAGCAGTTGGGGAAGTGTAGAGCCCTTCTTGAGAATGGGTACCAAGAGGTTTGAAGGAGGAACCTGAGTGTTGCTTCCTTCTCTGCTACCAAAGGACACCTAATGGGGATAAACTCAGGGAATACAGGGATACAGCTGTCTTCCTGGAATGGAAAAGGAGAGGAAAGAACTGGGATAGATGTTGGAGGACCTAGAGACCAGAGAGGTCACTGTGTGCCCACAGTTTCAGAGAAAGCCACCTCTGACTGGAGAGGGATTTCCGGGCAGCTCGAGTTCAATGATCTGATCTATGTAAATGAATTTGGAGACACAAGGAGCTGTCGGTGAATGGTGCTGCCTTTATTTGTTTTGCAGACTAATCCAAGCTACATCAGCCACATACTTACCGCAAAGCCTTGGTAAACCCCTGAACTCTGTGGCATTCCTGAGTAGCCAGAAGAATGACGGGCCATCCCCGCACCCACCCCCCATGCAGCCTCACCATAGTGTTGAGACATTCACGGGACAGAGTCCCCCTGCCTTTTCTCAGTGCACCAGCTGACTTGGCTTCTCCCCACGGGCACCTACCACACACTGTTGGCTGCCTGAGCAGAACGCGGGGCACGAGGGGATTAATCTGTCTGCCTCTTCCTCTCTCCCTACCATCTTGCCCTCAGAGCTAGGGGACGGTATCCTGAACTTCCATGCCAAGCTGGATCAATTGTGTCTTCTCTCTTCTCTTTCATCTCTCCCTCAATTTTCCCGTTGCCTGTTTCTTAAGAAATAGAGAACCAGTCATTGGAGACAGGCTTTAAATTTGTCTCTGTATCCATGACAGGAGAAACTCCCAAGTATTTGCATATGTGAGGTCAGACTCTAGTGTACACACCAGGTCTTAAATGCCACCAGCTACATTGGGCAAATACACTGTTTTCAAACGCCAAAGACTATAATTTGAGGACAGAATAAGCGATCTATTACCAACTTCCCCTCAGAGAGAAAGAGATAGATACATAGATAGAATAATTTCCAAGCTGCTATCACCTCCACAAAGCCTGTATCCTGACTACTCAGAGGGAAGTATTCCAGGCCTGTTCGCCTTTCAAAGCAAGGCAGCGTGAGCAAACACCATGCAGTCCATTTTATAAGTGAGAAGCCAAGAGTGCAGAAAACCTACTGGATTTGTTCAAGGTTATACCAGCAAGGAGAGGTCTCAACTAGATGGGTCCTAAATTCTCAGGTACCTGGGATGCCTTTAATCACACAGCACCATGAGTCTCACGTCTGCACGTGACCGTGTCTCCCTCCCCACAGACTACCCTGTAGCACCCACATGGTAACTCACAGCCTTCTGTAACCTCAGTTCCAAGGGATCTGACATCTTTCTCTGGCCAGTGTGGGAACCAGGCACACACACGGTATACTCGCAGACATGCCAGCAAAACACCAAAACATATAAAATTAAAATTTAAAAGGCCTAATTATTACTGAACTCATTATTAATCCACATGTCCATTTTCAACTAACTACAAGTGAGCTACAAACTTACTAGCAAATAGTTTTCACTGGAGCTGGTACTTTTAAACTACATTGCTGTGACTCCAGGCAGCAGTGGCAAAAGAGACTGTCAGGCACCGAGCATCCTTTCTAGGAACTGAAATCCAATCCCGACAATCCCAATCCAGGGCTTCTCATTAGAACCAGCTGTATCTGTGTGACCTTCAATAGGGGCACATTAGCCTTACAAGTCCCAGGGGCTGTTGTCCTTAAGCCTGGGTATCAACAATACCTGGAGAGTTTGTTCAAAGCCCAATTCCTGTGCTTCCCTCCCAGAAATTCTGAGGCTGCGCTTCTGAGATAGGGTTCAAGGGCCCGAACATCTAACAAGTTCCCAATTGATGCTGAGAATTGCTGCTCCTGGGGGCCTGTCCTAAGAACCCTATGTAGCTCTTGGCATCTCCTTCCGTCTCTATTCAGTGGAGTAGGACAGAGTACCCGGAGTTCTCTCTGGGCCTGGTAGTGAGAGGTCCCCTAGAGAGAAGTCAGTGCCGTGCAGCATCCCTAGTGGGCTGCCACTCAACACCAAAGCCCAGCCCTAGACAAAAGAACTCCGCCTCAGCCTTAATGAGTTCTCTGCAACTTCGTCTTATTGGATCCCCTTGAAGGCCTGAAGTCGGAGTGGTGCACAACGGACCGGACCGCAGGAGGCCTGTTCTTATCTAGGCGAATGTTTATCCACACAGCTGACCCAAATTAGTTGGAGCTGCAGGGACAGAAATAGGAATAGCCTGCGACTGAACGCCGAGGCGAGAACACGAATTCCCCTGTGAGGAGCGATTAATCTTCCTCCAGGGGAACAAGTCAGATGTGTGGCTGACTGGATTTATAGTCGAATTCTAATTTGAAATCACATGGACTTATTTTTTTAATTTAGAAATCCAAATTCCTTTTCCATCTTAAATGTCAGTGTCCTTTAAATATGAAATTTTGCCATTTGATACTCCCTGGGCTGGCAGCAGAAGTGGTCTTTTGTGTATTTATAAAAAAAAAAAAATCAACCGAGGAAGGCATTATGACTTTTGGAGGCCTGCAGGGGAGATGGCTAGAGCCCACATTCTCTGGAGTCACAGGGTAGACAAACCTCAACCCCTGGGCCACTCTGCTGGGGAGTTTTCCATAGTGTGACCTCAAGCTAGTGCCCCATAGCACACCCGACCCCCACGGCAAACCCCAAGGAGAGCATGGCTTGGTGAGGGCAGCATGTAGGCCTCTTCCTGTTCTTCCCAAGATCTCATTAAATGGACATAGCTTCCCACCCTGCGGTAGAAGGTTCCAGAAGACCGTTGTGCTCCTAACACCGAGGACTAAACTGTTCTGGTGTTTCCCAGGAAAGGAAGTGACAGTCATGAGTTGTGGCTTTGTAGAACCAGGGCAGGGAATACAGTGTTTCCTAGAAAAGGGAGAAGCTCCGCTGGTGAGACCTGAAGAATCTCAAGGATGCAGAATGGGTAAATTCCCCTCATGTCCAATTAGAATCATTGTGTGGGCCAGCAAGAGGGCTCCGTGGCTAAAGGCATTTGCTACACAAATCTGACAGCCTGAGCTCAATGCCCAGAACTCCCATAATGTGAAAAGGGAGAGCTAACCCCACAAAGTCGTCCTCTGTCTTCCTCAATGCCCCTCAGCATAGTGCCCCCACATAAACATCATACATACGATAATTTTAAAAAACAAATTGTGTTTAGAATGTGGGCAATATCTAAAGATTATGGTTCTCTTTGGAGACTACCTCCAGGAAAAACACATTATTCTTCCTAACCACACAATAAAGGTCAGTTCAGAATCAATCCCTTTACTGGTGATGAAAATAATTCAGCCCTACTAAGATGTAATGCTTAATTCCATGGACACCAGGAGATGGGACAGTGGTGACACCTCTTGATGCAGAACTCACACCTTACAGGGGCTCGAGTAGACTCTGTGACCTGGTAGCTTGGCAAGAGGGAGACACTCTGTCCATTCCTATCATGAGTTCCACGGATCAAATATGAGAAAAGGCAAGCCTCCTTCCCAAGGGTACCGAGATTCCTGTTGAAGAAAGCACATGAGCCACAATAGCACTACACGCTTGTTTTGCAGAAACACTTGACTAGGAAAAAGTGAGGGGGGGGTGGCATTGACAGTAGTAAGTATAGCTGGGGGGCCCATTTTAAGGTGGAGTATGTGACAAACAAGCTGAGAAATCCTTGCCAAGTCAGTGTAAAATGTGATAGTCAAGCTATCTGTCCTTTCCCCTTTGAAAAAGAGCCTCTGCTGCTCCAGTCGACGAGAGAACAGGTCACGTCGACTGTATTGGGTACAAAGCAGTCAGTTGGACAATTTTGGCATGGCCTTTGGTCAGCATTGCTAATGTGGGACTGAGTTGGGGGAATTGGTAAGCATGCCCAAACAGCATCCTACAGAGAAAATAATATGGCCAAGCCCCACTATGTACTACCAGGTCCTGTTAGCTTGAGCTCAGTATGGGTACACACACACACACACACACACACACACACACACACACACACACTGACCTAGTCAAAAATCCAATTCAAGATTCAGAAAATGACATCCTTGCCTGTAATGTGAGAGTAGACACCTGCTAGAATATTTGTAGAATCTGGATCGTGTGTTTCATAAACATATCCAGACGAATGACTAATTTAAAAAGAAAAGCAAGGCAACTCCGTACGCTGCTCAGCCTCTTCACTGGCAGTGAAGCCTGATTGTCTATGGCTTCCAGCTGACACTGTTCCCAGGAGGCCAGGAAGCCAACACGAAATTCAGATGTGTGCAGAAAGCTGCTCCGAGTTTACGGAACCCTAGTGAAGAGGTGCTTCCAAGGAGAGATGGGAGGACACAGAGAAGACCGGAAGTGCTAACTGGGACAGGTTGGCTGCTCTGTGTCACTCTGTGCCACTGGACAGGACTGCCTGGGGAGGCCACCTCTGCTGCCAGAGAGCAGCTGGAACCCCACTCCTGAAAAAAATGAGGGAATCAGAGGACCTAGGAGCCAACTGTGTGTTCCCGTACAAGGCAATCCATGGCCATGGACCTCAGTTTCCCCACTTTGGTTAGGACTGGGATTGGAGTTCACTGGACCCTTTGAGCTCTCATGTTCTGAGTCTCAGCTTCTCACTTGACACCCTTGACTGCCTGCCCATGATCTATTCCGAAATAGTCTTTTCCTCCAGGATAGCCACATGCATCCCAGACTACAACTATCCTCCAAGCTTATAGAACTAAAGGCTTAGCAAAGTCAGTGAGGGTGTTAACTGCCCCACTTAGCCCTCAAACCAATGTTATTCTAGCCTGGCCCCCCTGTGTCCTCAGAAATCTGGCATGGCCTGCCTCCACCACTTCTCTTGTCACAAATCCTGCCTCTGCTGCTCTTCCTGGTTTACCCCCGAGTTCTGCCTTCCTCTGTCTCCTGTGGCTTCTGGGCAGCTGGCATCCTCTGGGTCTCTCTTCTTTGTTGCTTGTAGCCTGATAGAGGCCATCACTTCCAGACTGTGCATAGCTCAGCAAGCACACGGCAACCCTGCAATACTGACCCCGCCTCAAGCCAGCCCGGCTCATCTCTTTATCTTTCTTTGCAGCACTGAAAAGTCCAACTGAATTCCATGACCCAAGAAAAAGTTTGGAGAGTGACAAGGTAAGTTTTGCAAACTTCCTTTTCTGAACAAGGCATGGCTGACAGGCTGTAGATATTGCGTGCTAAAATGTTGGCTCGGGTGCATAGGATTTCTACAACAAACTCCAAATGGCCGCCTCCCTGTGGAAATGACACCTCCTGTGTCAGCTCTAAGAGTGATAGTTTTTGGTTTAAAAAGGAAATGTTTTTAATCACTCCAGGTTGGAGGACAGTCATCAAAGACAGGCTAGAGGTCAAAAGGTCAGAACACTTTTAAGAAAGGAAGTAAGGTTGGCCTTCCCACTGAGTTATCTTGTACTACAGTCAATTTCGTTTTGGTTTTGGTTTGGTTTTTGGTTTTCAAAGCAGGATTTATTTGTGCAACTTTGGAGCCTGTCCTGGAACTCGCTTTTGTAGACCAGGATGGCCCCAAATTTACAGAGATCTGCCTGCCTCTTCCTTCTGAGTCTTGGGGTTAAAGTGTACACTACCACTGCCCGGTCAGTACAGTCATTCTTAGCAAAATCAGATTTCCTAAAAGGGTTCAGTGGGAAGATGAAGGTTGTAAGTAGAGAGAGCTACACAAAGAATGGCATTCATTTGATTTTCTCATTTGGGGGACAGGGTCGTTTGGTTTATTTCGGTTTTTCATTTAAAGGAAAATTTGACATACTCGTTGGTCACCTTTATCATAGATTTCTACTCCTGATAATATCAGTGATATAAATACAATGTAGGAGCCGCCAGCACCTTCTGGGACATGGAAATGGCTGGCTGGTGTCTTTCCTTGTCTGTTAGTTGCAGCCTTGGAGCCTGACTGTGGATTGACAGGAAGAACAGAATTTGCAATTCTCCCAACTTGTTTGTGAGGGGCTGGGATTCCTAGCAAGGCAGAATAATGAACAACAGATGTCACCAGCAGTGGGGAGACCTAGAATAGGGAGAGGGAAGAACCTGGAAGAAGGAGTTAGAAGCCTGTGATCCTCAGTTGGTTTGAGCCTTGCCTGTCAGTCCTCCAGACAGCTCCTCCATGGCAGTGAGATGTGGCATACCACCCTTCCCCGGGTGCCTTCCAAAGTCTGGACTGCAGGTTCCACACTTCGCCATGTCAGAGATCACTGGCAAGGGCTGTAGAGAGTCCATCGTAGTGCAAGTTTGTGCAGTGGTTTATCTCTGACCTTGGTCGCTTTGGTGACAATTAGGCAATCAGATCCATTACAGCTAAGTGTCTGCAGGCCAACTGCCGTATGAACATCGCTAGGCTGCCTTTGTATTTATGTTTAGAGCCCTTGACTCGGGCCCAGGCTTTTCACCCCCTCTGCCCTTCCTCTCCATACTTAAATTCTAAGGGGAAATTTTGTGTTTCTTTGCAAAAATATGGGGAAAGGGGGGTATTTTCCATTTGCTACTCATAGAGTACTTTTTCCTTTGGAGAGAAATTGAGAGTTTTGTGCTTTTGTTCTACAGACTGAAGATTCCCTAAAGCACAAGGGCAGAAACAGGTCTGATCGTGGCAGCCTGGTTAATATGCACATTCTCCAAGGTAAGGCTACCTAAATCACAAACAAGGGCAGGCCTGCCCAGCAGGGGGCCATTTCGCTAGAGCTTCCAGTCTCTGTATTTGCTAAACCCCTTTAAAAGACTCTCAAAGGTTAATGAATTAATAAAATAAAAATCTTTCTAAACCAAATATATATGCATGTATATATGTATACATATATATGTATATATACACACATATAGGCATATATGTACCAGCTTTGCATTGGGGCATCTTTGAACAGTCGTCCAGTCATTCTTAGCCACACAGAAGACTTAGAAAGCCACACATTTGCTTCAGATTTGATTTCCTGCCTCACCTACACCATTCCTGACCCTAAGGCCAGGCAGCTCCATCATTTTGCTGAGCACCTACAGAGAGTCCTCCTCTGTCCACATGGGGAGTTCATCTAGTTGTTCCCATAGTCATCACATAGCAGCTCGATTCTGCCCTATGGATGCGTTTTTGTTCCAGTGCAGAGCTTCTCAGTCTGCAGGCGGCAACCTCTTTGGGGTTCAAACGGCCTTTACACAAGGGTCCTCTACCACCATCAGAAAACGCAGGTATTTACATCATGACTCATAACAGTAACAAAATTACGAAGTAGCAACAAAAATAATTATATGAATGGGGGTCACCACAACTTGAGTAACTGTCTTACAGGGTTCTGATCTTGTTGGGAAATAGGAAACAAAGTAAACACCTAGTTGCCATCTTAGTCTGACACCCGAGGGGAGCAGAGGCCTTTCCTGCAATGGGAATGCTCTGCCCTCTGGTGCCAGCTTCAGAGAGGCTCATCCTCTACTTGGACTTTTTCTGGGAACTTTTTAATCAGTGGGAAAGTGCTGCACTGAGGGTTGCAAGGGTTTGGCTGACCTTGTCAGTGCAGAGATGACCAAGATGTGAATGTCTGCCCTTAGTGAACCCTTCAGGGTATCAGAGAAGAAAGACAAGAGTATTAGCATTCGCTACCCAGCACAATAGAGAAAATGCATGTTGCGAATGCATAGAGAGCATGCACGGTGGTGGAAATGCATAGAGAGCACGCACGGTGGTGGGAATGCACAGAGAGCACGCACGGTGGTGGGAATGCACGGAGAGCCCGCACGGTGGTGGGAATGCACGGAGAGCATGCACGGTGGTGGGAATGCACGGAGAGCATGCACGGTGGTGGGAATGCACGGAGAGCATGCACGGTGGTGGGAATGCATGGAGAACACACACGGTGGTGGGAATGCACGGAGGAGGAGGTCTTGGAAGGGAGACATCAGTCTCAGAATAGACTGCAGAAGGGAAGGAAAGGAGCTGGGATGTGAAGTATGGTCCAGGTTCAGGAAGATGGAGGGGCATTTAAGGTGGAGGTGCAGCATGCACCCAGCACCAGGGTGCTCTCTCTAGAATATGAATTTCCAAGTCTGGATGCAAGCTGTACAGGGTAGAAAAGGTCCTGAAATAGAGAGGAAGTTGTGAGTCTTTTCTCTTTGATCAGCATCGTCTCCATCCTTCTGGTTTCCTGACCTTTCTCCCACCATGGAGTGAGTGAGACACTGTAAGGTAGAGAGAAGGCAGCACAGAGTCTGAAGGGGAGGCTCTGAAGAACCTAAGGGCTCTTGGACACAAGTGACAAAATTCTTACCTCCTTTACAATGGCATCTATGAAGACTCTGGGAGCTGCTGTCATGTCGGCACAAAATTATAGCTATGCAAATTGTGCAAGAAATGCCATTTAATTGTGATACAGATTTTCAATGGTTGAGTTAGCAAATGAAAATAAATATTGTTTTTTGCCACTGTGTGGTACTCCATTTGTAGGCAAATGGATGGAGCTAGAAAACATCATATTGAGTGTGGTAACCCAGACCCAGAAAGACAAATATAATATGTACTCACTCATAAGTGGATTTTAGACATAAAGCAAAGAAAAACCAGCCTACAATTTACAATCCCAGAGAACCTAGACAACAAAGAGGACCCTAAGAGAGACATACCTGGATCTAATCTACGTGGGAAATAGTAAAAGACAAGATCTCCTGAGTAAATTGGGAGCATGGGGACTTTGAGAGAGGGTAGAAGGGGAGGGGAGAGGAAGGGAGGGAAGTGAAGAAAAATATACAGCTCAATAAAAAACAATTTAAAAAATAAAAATAAATATTGTATGTGGCAAAAACGCCACATTTGTTTTTGCCACGTCAGTTTCTACAGGGCAGCTTGGCAGAGTGTGCCAAACTCCTTGACCGTGTGTCTAACTTGCATTTGTAAAGGTTTGGATGCAATGTGTTTAGCATGGAGCTATATTTGGAGGGGAAAACATTGAAACTGGTAAAATGTCCAACAATAGGGGACCCCCAAGTAAACTGGGGATCCTCTGTCTAGTTTGATACCACACAGCCACCATAGCTAGGGATTTGAAGAATAATGAGTTAATAAGAAAAAGCTTAGAGGATGTTTAGTGAAAACAGCAGAAAGCAAAACAGGATTTTTAGACAAATTCTGGGAAGACAAACTAAACATGTAAATATGCGCATTCGTGGCCCAGTTCTGGGAAGAAAATGTATTGATCTAATAATAAAAACAGACAACTCAGAAAGACTGGGGCAGCGTGGGGAGTTCTCTGCTGGTCTCATTTTCTCATGCACAGCCAGGGCATTTGGGATCTCACGCGCACAGAGGGCGCCATGACGCAAAGGCCTAAGAGGTGCAGTGTGACTCAATGCTTGCTTGACTCTCCTGCCCAGCTCTTTAAAACGCTTCTTTCATCCTTGCCATCAATATCAAGTTCTCCACCACACCAGCCCTTGATTCTGCGGCTTGTCTCTTCCACAGAGCCTTCTAGTCTCCCCAACAGGGAGTAAGGATTAGTTTCCCAGAGTACCAAAGATTCACTAAGACAAAAAGGGCTCCTCTCTCCTGAGTTTCTCACTTAGGTGGGGACAGGAAATAGGAAGCAGACTGCAAAAGGCAGCCCAGTATGCCGTGAGGGCAGAAGGGAGCAGGGGGCGCCTGCAGGGGTTGGCAAGGGAATCTCTCTGTCCGGAAAATGAGTGGGTCCGTCCACGGCAGGCTGAGACGCCGAGGGTCGATGCTAGAAGAGAAGAGGCTATGGCAGGGTTGAATTGGGAAGTGGAGTCCAGCCAGCAGCTGGAGAGCCACATTCTTTTCTAAAGATTTATTTTACTGTTCATTACAAGTGTCGGCAAGGGGAGGGGTAGTAACGTCATATGAGAGTGCTGGTAGAATCCAGAGGAGAGCGTCAGATCCCCCGAGCTGGGGTTCCGGGCAGTTGTGAGCCACTGACATAGGTGCTGGGAACTAAAGCAGAGTCCCTTCGAGAGCAGTCAGTGCTCTTACCTGCTGCATCTGCTTGGCGGCCCCAACACTCCTGCTCTTACCTGCGGAGCTTCTAGACAAGCGTGGCCAGCGGCTGATTGCGGGATTTCTCTGCTGTGTAAGAAATGCCCAGTCATAGACTGAAGACCCCAGGTCTGGATTAGAGGGTTGGGAGAGCCGTCTATTAACTCCTCATTTTTCCAGCTCAGCATGTTAAGAGAGACCCTGTATTTCTCCACTAGAGCCACAGGTTGGCTAGATTTTCCTTATTTTGTTCTTTTAAGGGAAATCACTCACAGCTCACCCTAATGAGAACATTTGGGGTCAGCCATAAAGGGGAGAATTTAGAACCCTGTACCTCACCTTTTCCACCCTCCAAATGATGAGAAGTTGCCTGTTGGATAAAATTCAGTTTCTTTTTAAAACTCCTTCTGTTTAGTTAAAATCTCAGTTTCAAAGGATTTTTTTTTTCTTGCCTTTTACAATGTATCGTCACATTTGACTCCCAGTCAGCATTACAGCATTGACAAGTCTAAAAGCCCCAGAAGGTTCCACTCCCCCTATAACTCTCCACAGGAGATGGTGTATACTGCAGGCCCCGCCTGTACCAGTCATTCTCAAAAGCCAGCAACCTAGGGTCAAGCCAGCTGCATGGACCCCTGGACGGCTTGCTTACAAAATTGCCAAATTGCATTTTTTTTTTTTTTAAAACAAATCCTCTCAAGGCGAGTTTCTCCAGTTTTCCCGTGCCTCTTCATTTGCCTTTATTTGGAAGTGTCTGCTCTCTGGAGCTAATCCCTGTGAAGTGATGAGGCTTGCATTGAAACATTATCAGGATGTAGGGCATGGTGTGACACAGGGTTTTGTAGCCACCAGCCAAGAAAGCGAACCAAATAAAATGACATCAAATTCTAAAACGGCCGCTGCCTGTTTCCACCTTGCAGCCTCCACGGCAGAAAGATCCATCCCAACTGCTCAGATGAAGCTGAAAAGAGCCCGCCTCGCAGATGACCTCAATGAAAAGATTGCTCTCCGCCCAGGGCCCTTGGAACTGGTGGAGAAGAACATCCTGCCTATGGATTCCTCAGTAAAAGAGGCTATAAAAGGTAGCTGGGCTTGGGGGAGGCATGCCTGTCCCACACTTGTGAAAACCAGGGCAGCCACAGCTCTGGCAAAGTAGGAAGCCCGCTCTAAGCAGCTCACTGGATGAGCCATGCCATGGATTGCTTCCCAAGTGTGTTCCCCATGCCCAGGGGTCCACTGACCTTAGCTTCCTATGTTAAAGAGGCGGAGACAAGAAAAATTAGATGAGAGCAGTCAGTAAGGAAGTCTCACAGCCGCAATCCCAGCACTTGAGAGGCTGAGATGAGAGGATTGGCCCGAGTTCAAGGCCAGCCTGGGCTCCAGCGTCAGCTCTGGACCAATCTGAGCTTCAAGTGAGATCTTTAAAAGCAGGTTAACCAATGAGAGAGGGATGGAGTGAAAACTAGCACAATGGAAATAGTTTGGCTGCTGTGTTCTAGGATTGGGATGAAGACGGCAATGCCCAGGCTTTCACAAGCAAAACTCACATTATGACACTTGGCAAACTGACAATTCTTACGTCATGCCCGAGGCCAAACACTCAAGGAGGTGATACACTCACAGTTCCCTCAGAAACTGCCTTAGCTCATTTCACAGACCTTTAGACCAGCTGACCTCAGGTGGGTCCAGTCTGCAAGCACAGAGTTTATCTAAGCTATGCTGTGGTTGGGCCCTGGGTAAACAGAGGGGGGTGGAGTAGGGAGATGAACATTCCTATGGGCAAACTGACTTTGTTCTAATTAGACCTGCAGGCAGTTCCTGGGGAAACTTGAAAGGTATTACTTACCAATAGATATTTAAAGGTTTCAATGTGTTGTCAAAAGTACATGCAAGGACAACTTATTCTAAACTGCATTTGTTGTGAGAGGCCCTTGAGTTGCCTTATGTCTCGGTCTCAGCCATCCTTGCAGAGACCATTGGAATGTGTAACTGTGGAAATTGGCACTCCAGGAGAGTCACTGACTCCTCTCCCACTGCCCACTTAGACATCTCACAGTGGTTGTCTGTCCTCTTTAGATATGGTCTTGGGCTTTGGAACTTGGCCTACAGGTCTCAGGAGTGCACGCTCTCATCACTGCTTGGGTAGATCCTTCCTAGAGCCAGGACAAAAGTCTGGGGAGAAAATGCCATTGAGCATCTCTCATCGTTTCTTGGAACGTCCTGTTCCATGACTATAAAGTTGTCACTTGACTATTATAGGCAGAAGATTTTTAATCTGCACCTTTAGTCTCTACCAACATTGCACCTTCCCAACTGATAGCCTTTCTCCTTTCCTTCCTGCCGCCTGTGTTTCTCCGTGTATGTGCTACCTATACGAGAAAAATCACTATCACTAGTGTGGCAGACATTTTAGCAGTCTGTTGCCTTGTGCGTCCTGGTTTTACATACAGCACTTTCAATTTTCCCTCTCATCTGTTCATTTTTTCTTCATAGTTTCTGCATTTGTTTTAGTTGAGACTATTTCCCAGCTCAATGGTATGGACTTTTTTTTTTTTACCTACTTCATCATATACACACCCCATTTTCAAATTTAAAATCTGAGTGCTTCTGAGAATATTTCAATGCTTAGATTAAGAGGCACATGTAATTTTGTTTTGTCCAGAATCTTGTCATGTATTTTACAATTGGATTTGACCTTTGTCTTCGGAAGTTTCTTTACATCGGTCTGCTTTGTCTATTGTTTCCTGGCTACTTACAGAGGTGCATTGGAGATAACACTTAGGAACAATTTTTCATAGGCTAACTTACTCCTGTCAAAATTAGTTTGAGAATACAACATATTTATAGGTTAATGTGCAGTGGATCCATAATCCATATGCTTAAAGCACACAGATTCTTCCAGGTCAGAAACACAAGATCCCTTTCCATTTACCAGACCCTGCATGTCCCTCAACACAGTTTGTTGTTATAAGCCAGTCCTTTGGATCACAGTGACACTGGAAATATTCACTTTGTATATTTAATTTTTCTTAGCATCTTTGAAGATTTCCTTAATAGTGTCAGTAAGTTTCTCAGTTCATCCTGTTTAAGTGGAAATGTCTACAGATGAGACATGTTTCCTGCTCCACTTTGTGCAATGACTGGTAGTTGAAAATCTATATATTATATGATCAATGTCATCATAGGACTGTACATGTGCACTGCATTTCGATAGTTTTTTACTTCATATAACAATTCCAATATGTATTTACATTTGTAGGTTATGTCAATTTGATATAAATTATACAGATGATATAGTATAGTATACCAAATAAAATAAAATTTTACTACATATATCTGGCAGGGTGGTTCTTTTTTTGAGGAGTCATAGAAACACCTGCCTTATGTATAAAATTATGCATAAGGTGTATAAATTCATATTTATGCAATAAATAATGACATGTGAGATGACTGGATAATCATGTGTCTCTTGCTTAATAGAATCCTGTTATTACTGATAGGTTGACAATGGTTCAGAACAACCAGGAGGCAGTGAGCTTATGGCCAGACTAGGGTGGACAGCAAGGCCCTGTCTGGTAAAGGTGACGTGATAACACGTCATGCTGTCTATATTATGCTTATCTGCATTCCTACAGCTGCTGGATGAGCGCATGTTTTCATTCCATTTTTCTGTTGGCCGGAACTCATCTCAGCCTAGAACACCCCGCCTTGAAACACTGTGGGGGAGTGGTTTGTTTCACACTCTGACCCCAGTTCAGTCTACAGTTGCCACTAGCAACTGTAGTGGGGAGGGTAGAGCTGACCCAGGAAAAAGATCAAAATTCAGATTTCTCAGTAATGTTCCTCCTCAAAGACTCCAGCTTTTGCATTATTGAAAGTCACCTCACCATAAGTCAAGGGCGTTTCATCTGGATGCATTTCACTCGATAATTGACAATTACCTCTGAAATCTTTCTGAGTGACGGAAACTGTTCAGCGTGGTTTCATGATCAGCTTCATGAGCTTCCTCGGGCACATCTCTGAGGTTGTTCTTTCATGACTTTCTATGGTGACACTCATAGTTACATTTTTATCTTCTATCAGCTGTGTGATCTGCCCCATGCTGGAAATTCTCCTCCTCCTCCTCCTCCTCCTCCTCCTCCTCCTCCTCCTCCTCCATGTCACAGCTCACGAGTCTCCAGCCACATGTGGTGTTGACTTGCTGTGGTTCTAAGCGTCTCTGACCAGCACTCCACTTTTCAACTTAACTTCTACACATGGGATATCGTCTCTTCCTCTCTCCGTTACATTTACGACAAGCCCGTCTGCTTCTTCTCTTAGAAAGGAGGAGTTTGTGATGCTATTCTTAAAGTCTGTTAGTTCCATGTCCTTACTTGAATTCAGTTTGCCTCTAATCCAGCTTGCTGAGAAGCTGTAGGAGGCAAGCCGGAGTCTCACTCGCTGCTCATCAGGAGCCCACCAATAATCCACACTGAGTCTCAGTCAAGCCCTGAAGAAAGAGAGGCAGGGGTGAGGAGGGTAGAGTGGAAAGTGCTGACTAAGTGCTGGAAGCAGTTTACAGCATGTCTTCAAGCAGAGAGGCTCAAACTTCAGTGTTCTTCTCCTCAAGAAACTTGATAAAACTGTTTTTCTAACACCCTAGCTAGAGAAAACATAATTTTTGAGGGATACAAAAAAGGTACTGGTGAGCACAGGAAGGGTTCTGGTGAGGCGAAACTGAGTGTGTGTGTGTGTGTGTGTGTGTGTGTGTGTGTGTGTGTGTGTGTATACGTACATACGTGTGTGGGCACACACACATCCGTGTGTGTGTGTATGTGTGTGTGTGTGTATGTGTGTGTATGTGTGAACAGAGTCAGGCTATGCATGCACTGTGTGTGTGTGTGTGTGTGTGTGTGTGTGTGTATGTGTGAACAGAGTCAGGCTATGCATGCACTGTGTGTGTGTGTGTGTGTGTGTGTGTATGTGTGAACAGAGTCAGGCTATGCATGCACTGTGTGTGTGTGTGTGTGTGTACAACGTCAGGCTGTGCATGCAGACTGGACTGTGTCTGTGGTGTGGAGTGGGCTTGTGAGAGATGAAAGAACTCCACTGAGAGGCTGACACACTTGTTTGAGGAGAGCTGACAACTGGAGAAAGTCCTGCCTGTGAGTGTACAAGAAGAGTCTGACATGACCAACATTGCATAACTCGATTGCAGATCGCCTTTCAACACACAGGCTTCTCTCTCTCTCTTGATCAAGGTAGTGATGTCATCATTCATCAAGATAGGAATAAGAATGGATGAGTTAGGTAGTGGAAAGTGAAAACTTCTCCTGCTAACTGCTGAACTGAGGGGCCATCAGTAATGCAACAGTAGATATTCACACGCCATAGGTCCTGGGGCTCCTAGTTCAGAGGAAAACGCACACTTGCAAATATTCAGTGCCTGTGATGATTTAAACTGACGAGCTAGCTAAGGTTGCCTTTGCATGCATGCATTTCTTCACTGACTATCTACTGAGTCTCTTCTAACATACCAGACCTCACTCTAATCTCTTGTTCAGTGGTCAGAGCCGACAAGTCAATTTTGTAACTTTAGTGTTATAGTAAAAAAGCTTCTAAGTGCAGGAGCAGTTCAGGGTCTGAGCGGTGCATAAAAAGAGCGGAGGATTAAACTCGAGACTGGGGTGTGGTAGGAAGTCTGTGCAGAATAAACGGGGATCCACTGGAGAAAAAGGTTAAACATACATTTGCTTTAGTCCAAGGAAATCCCCGAAGTCAGTGCTAGCCTTAGAGAATAGAGCCCTCATCCCTCCCCGCCCCCCATCCTCGTGTCCCCTTCTGTACTTAGGAGTCTCACAAACAAGGGAACACGCATGAAGAAACATCATAAGGCTGCTTGGAGACCAGCTGTAGGAACAACAGCTGGAGCCCTCCCAGGAGCAAAGACGACCCAGCTTGCTCGTGGGCCTGCTCCCCCCGGGGACCACATCCCTTCTATGGTGAGGTGCAGATGCGTTAGTGTGATGGTTTTTTTCATCAGCCTCACGACCTCTGTGTGTTTCCCCTGCTCCATCCACGTGCCGTTCCGTTTGTGTTTATA